AACTGTCTCCTGAATTGTTTCATCATTCTCAGCTCCTGAGTATACCATGGAGCTTTACAAGCTCTACTACAGAGAGGGGTCTCAGGAGCGATTGTGTCAAGTGCCTGGGTCATCCCTGTATTCCAGAGATCAACCAGGGATGCAGCAGGACCACCAGCCATATAAGCCAGAAAAAGGTTTCCCAGAGCCTTCTGGAAACCATACAGATCCATCAGCTTCTGGTGGGGGGGGCATCTTAATGGATCCCCCATCCCTGCAGAGGGAAAAAGTCGCTGTTAAGGTAGTGATCTGACCATGACGAGGAGACTAATTCAAGGTCTCCTACCTTCAGATCACTATAGCCTTGCCTGGCTGAAAAAACAAATCTAGAGTGTGCCCTACTATGTGCATTGGGCCAAAAACTTTTTGGGACAGCACCATGGTTGTCATGGAGTCCATGAAATCTTGAGCTGCCTCAGACAGTAGACCATCAACATGGGTGTTGACATTCTCCAGACCACCAGCCTGGGGGACCTCAACATTGCAGCTGGGACATCTACCAGTTCAGGTACGGACACTGTTGGAGGGGTCCACAGGGTGGATGGTATACCAACAGAATCCCCAGTCTGTTCCATCAGTGCAACATAAGATGAAAACACTCTAGATTAGGAGTCAGATGGAGAGGAAGCCTAGAGAGAGATAGAGAATCCCTTCAGTCCATGGCACCTCACCCTCCCCAGCTTTCTAGCCTTCCTTGACACTGTACCAAGTACTCAGGTGGGAAGAGATGGAAAAAACTGCCCCCCTTTCACCTATCCAGGTCTTAGTTATGCATGTGAAATCGACTGCCTCAGACACTATTAAGTCATGGATAAGGGAGGTCTTATTGTGCATTGATCTGTCCTTCAAAAGCAGCATCCAGGGACCCCAAGAATTCTGTAGCTGGCAAGATGGAAGTATATAAAAGACTAGCAGAATAAACATTTTAACCACTCACCTGAAAGAAGTGAAGAAAGCCAGAGTGACTTTCACTAGAAGGGGACTCCATAACTGGGTCACTGAAATCACATACTCTCTATCCTGCATTCAGTCCAGGGCCTTGGAAGATGGCAATAACTGATAAATCAGCCATCATCAGATTTTTGATGATCCACAGGGGATGTTTCTGACACCTATGATCCATCACAGCTTTTGTTTTGCTATCCATAGTATTGAACTACAACCTCAAATAGGTTCACCACCATGGAGATATCCTACAAAGCTCAAAATAAAATCTGCAAGAGATTAGGAGCCCGAATGACATGGGAGTCACCCAATTCCCCAGACAATTGCACTGGTTGGATTAGTACAAATGGATAAAGTACTGGGAGAAAGAGAGAGCCAACTAGAGAAAAATTTTGAAGGGGGAAAGAAAACCAGGGAAAGAGCTGTGCCATTTTCTCTGTCTCATCTCTATTAATGATTGTGCCTTCTCAAAGTGCTTAACCAAAGCAACTGCTGGTTAGAGTTAGATTAGTTTGTAGGTAACATGCAGTTTGGCCATAACCCCATCTGAATACGGAAGTTATCATCTGTGCATGAACTTTGTGAAAATCACCAAGGAGCCTCACCACATCAAGCACTTTGAACACTGTCAAAATGCTGTGTAACAGTTTGGTGTCCTCCATGTGAACTATTGCTATTTGGAGGGAATCCATACATTGCTTTACATTAAAAACCCTCATGAATTACATCAGTATTAGTGCTGGTTTTCATAAATGTAGCTTTACATTAACAATGTGCATTTTGAACTCCTGTATGGGAAGCCATCCAAGATCATCTAATTTTAACATGATCTGATTTTCCACACCCATCCCCCAGTTGCTGTTCCAAATGCCTGTTGTACTCAACAGTGTACATTGTACTAAAATGTGTATTAATGAAGTTCAAGCAAGGGCTCCCCAAAGGGAAGTAAAACTGTATTTAGCCTTCTATTTTCTCCCCTCTCTTGTGGCTAATATGTTTTCTAGAACAACGACATCCTACTAAAATCTAGTCTACAGAATAGATGAGAAGGATCATACGGACAATTCTGAAAGCTAAATGCATGAAGCTGATTGCCTAAGGGGTTTTCTTTTGGCCATCACACATATGGCAGATGTTAACCATGGAGTTGCTGGTCAAATAGGAGGCCTGGAATCATTTCTACACAGAGTCTTTGTAACATAACCTTCTGTGAAACACTGAAAATGACCTTATACCAGGTCAAAACTGTTCCACCTGACCTAGTAATATCTATTATTATCTACTCTAACTTGCAGCAATTTTTCAGAGTTTGAGGCAGAGAAGTCCAATCACTTGCAACTTCATCTTTGCAAAACTGGAGATGCAAAAGATTGAACCTAGGATCATCTTCATATAAAGTATGGACTTTGCTACTCAGTCATGACCTAGGAAAGTCATGTGTTCTCTGTTTCCAAGGGCAGCCCTCTATTTGAAAGAGGATGGTCCTATATTTTGAAGGGAACCTCTGCTTGAAGGAATGTACAAGTCCGGTTTTAAAACAAGAAACCGTCAGAGGAAGAACTGGGACTTGAAGCTGCCCATCAACAGCATTTGGACAGCAGACTGAGCAAGGCAAAGAGGTTTCCTCATCACAGACTAATAAATTGTGGTGAGATGTACTGTATTTCCATTTCAATTATAATCATGATTTCTAAATTTGTATCCATACATAGAAATTTGTATGTGCCCATTTTACACAGATCCACCTTCAGTGTTATCCTCTCTTTGAGTGATGCATGTTCCTTTTTTGGCAATTCACAAATGACCATCATACTATGGTCCCTCTCCATCCCATCAGCCAATCACTGAATCACTTTGGCCCAAGGGGTAGCGGGGAACAGAATGTGAAAATCATGTTTTGTGGACAGGGAAGGGAGGAATTTGGTGGCATGGTTGTGGACCTGGAAGACTCCCATATTGCATGTTAGAATAAATTTGTCAAATCATGAGCGGAAGGAAAATAGCTACTGACGTTATTCTGCAAATGCTTGCTCAAGACTGCACAATACCCAGTGTTTTAATATGCAAGGGCTTCACTGCAGCTCTCTGTCTCCCAGATGTTTAACAATAGCCACAACAAAATTCTATTTTCTTTCTGAATTCAGCTGCTGAAGTGAAGCAAGCTTGAGGCAGCCAGGCATGAATTTTTGTGTGAGCGGATTGTGAGCTCCATTTTGCTCTGATACAGGAAACAAATTCCTAGGTCCAGAAAGCAGTCTGTTCTTCCTTTAATTGTAAGTGTGTGTCTTTTGCAGCTGTCTCTGGTTGGGTTTCCAGTTCAAACCTTGGAGTTCCAGTATAAATAACAAGTACAAAACAAGTCTGAAATCTGCCTGCTCCTGCTATAAAGATAAATAGAAAAAACAAACTGGGATCTATAGTAATACATCGCATTCCACCCAAACAGTGTGATACACAGAATGGTGCACATTGATTTTGCTTTCCCCTCATACAAGTAACCTCTAACATATTGGAAACAGAGATGATATTTAAATATGCAGAAGAACTGCTCCTCTTCTTTCTTCAGTGCTTTAAGAAGCCCTGAGGACAGAAGCAAATTAATCAGAAATAGAGGATGATGAGAATAGGTAACAAGGGACTGCCTCTTCATTTCTATGTGCAGAAGCAATTAATGTGCACCAAATGCCTATTAATTGGAGCAGATTTTTATTGCTACAAGAGCACAGCTATATGCACCAACCTGTCTTGTGTGCCAGACTGATACTAGTATTGTAGAGTGGAATGAATGTGATAATACTATATAGGATACGACTGCTATAGTAATAGGATAATACTATATAGGGGATGCAGTTAAACACATGTAAGAGTAGGAGTTTATCATTTATTTTGGACTAATAAATGCTGCATTTTTCTTTAAAGAAAAATAAGAAAACTGGTTCCAGCAACTTTCTCTAAAAATATTTTTAAAAGTTTATGCTCCACTAGAAAGTAAGAGCCCTGGAAGTATACAATATTAAATCTTCACTCAAATGTCTGGTGTTTCTGCCACCCCTGCTGCTCTTTTAAAGGGTATTAACAAGTCTAGGAGAAATAGCTTCATTCCCCCAAATTATGGATAGGGCTGACCCCACCTTGAGGCAGAGGGCTGGTTTGGATGGCATGCTTATGCAGTGTAAGCTATTTATGGAACAACTCACTGTGTGCCTGGCAGGCTCATCTTGACTTGCTCTCCCTTTCCTTCCCCCTTGATGCTCCAACCGGTATCCCAGTGTCTCTTGCAGGACAACCTGATTTTCTTGTCCTGCTCTGATCATCATTCTTTTTCATTTGCCCCCTGTGTTTTTCTCTCCTGTTGAAGTATTAAAACTGTGATCACTTTTTATTATCATAAATTTGGTCCCCAAAATGTGTGCAAATGTCTTTGGTTTTTTGGGCTGATGGTGGTTTGGTTTGCTTTTGCTTTTTGGAGGTGTGCCAGTGTGCAGTTATGGCCACCAGATATATGCAGTCTTACCTAGTTCCACTGTCAGACACTGACAGAATTGTGAGGTGGGACTGCATATTGGTTCAATTGCAAACAGGTGACATCTCTCAGCTGCCCAGCTGTCCACTGGAATGCAGAACCGAGGGAAGCAAGCAACAAAATAGGTGCACTAAACAGAGGTGAGCTCAAGATTTCCTTCTTAGCAATGTGATCCTCTTGATTTCTCAGTTAACACAGACAATTCTCAGTGCCCTCCACCTTTTGACATTTCCCTATTTCTCCAGGTAGTCCAGAAAGGAGGATTCTTAAAGCCACTCTTTTGGTGGCTCCTTGAAGCCATTATTGCCATTTCCTAACATTTGTCTGAAGCCATTACTGTCATTTCCTAACATTTGTCTAAAAACCCTGAGAAGGTCTCTAACCCAGACAGAGTGAAGGAGGTGTCCCGTTTGATGCACCCCATTCTGCCCCATATAAAGGTTTTTTTTTTTTTTCCAGTCCCTTTGAAATGTGTGCATGCTTTCCCTCATGACACAGGAAAATATTCACAGATTTCAAAGCTGTAAAGTACATGGAAAGAAAATATGTTGCAAATTTCTCCTAATCTGTCCATATGTCCACGTGTGTATGTATGTATTTCCCAGAATTTTTTTAAATGCACAAATTTGTCAGACTGAGAAATATATGCAGATTTCATAGTTGAGTAGAACTTCCATATTTCTCTATTCCCCCAGCCTTGAGATTTATGCACATTTTCTTGTCCAAATAAATAAAAATTCAGCTATTTTGTATTGGAAAAAAGAAAGCTAGTTGTAGTTGTTGTTTTCTTAGATTTCAAATCAACTTGGAAAGGCTGGGGAATTATGCCCTTTGACTTAGGTAGAGATAGGGTTTCCATCAAGTAGGGATGAATCCATGCAGGTATGAGGCACGTATCTTATGCAAGATAGAATTTGGTTTCTCCCTTGCTGGGCCCCTGAAATAATAATAATTATTATTATTATTATTATTATTATATTATTATTATATTATTATTATAACATTTCTATGCCGCCCCTTGCCGAAAACTCGGGGCGGCTTACAACACAATAAAATACATTGAAATACAATAGAACATAATAAATTACCATTAAATACAAAAATACAAAAAATACACTGTGTTACAAATATAAAATTAAAATTATCAGTATAAAATAAGTAAATAAAAATATAGGAGGAGAAAAGAGAAGGAAGAAGAAGTTGCCCTGGCCAGATCATATGTTTTAACAATTAAAATGATGTTTAAATAAAAAGGTCTTTACCTGGCGCCGAAAAACCAGTAACGACGGTGCCAGGCGGACCTCTTTGGGGAGTGAATTCCAACACCTGATATACAAGCCTCCCTCCAGCTTTCTGGTGATCTTGCCACCACCACTGTTGTCCTGAAGGACCCGTGACAAGCCTAGGAGAAAGAGATGTCCACCTGGAATAGAGGTGCTGAACCTGACACCTTTCATATGTTTTGGACTACAGCTTTCAATATTCCTGACCATCGGCCATGCTGACTGGAGCGAAGAATCAAAACACCTAGAGCACACCTAGTCCATCAAAAACTGGGCAGTGCCTTCCAGAATTTCAAAAGATCCTAATATATCATAGTTAATCAAATTGTACCAATCCTGCAATGGTCACAAGCAGAGTTTCTCTCCTGTTGACACAGTGAACTTTCTATTGCAGATTACTTTCTTATACAGAATTTTCCGAGCTTCTAAACCACATGAATGCATTGAGAAGCAATTTTATCCAAAATAGATGATCATCCTCTTCTTTTTCTGCCTTTGACTTTCCTAAGCATTCTTGTCTTCTCCAGTGAGTCTTGCCTTCTTAGGAGGTGCCTGAAATAGGACCACATCAGTTTTGTCGTTTTTGCTTCCAGGAAAAGTTGACATAATCAGAATGTCTATCAATTAGTTTTTGTATGTTTTGTATGCTGTAAATATATTATATTGCTAATTTTCTGAACCAGTTTTAAAAGAGCCATTCATTCCACAACAGATAACAGCATATTCTTATGCATGGTTGTTCAAAAGTAAGTTCCATCCTGTTTGATAGGGCTGCCTCCTATGAGTGTGTATAGGATGAACAGATATCTGGGAGTAAAACACAATAGGCCTTATTTACAGGTAGACATGCATGGGATTGGGCTGTAAATCTACTCCCAGGAAAGCAGCAAAATGTACATCAGTATGATGACTCAAATACATTTTGGGGTGGGGGCAGATTATAACTAAACAAGACAATGATTGAAATTCATTGGCTCATTAACTTCGTCAGGACTGCCAGCAATTAGAAAGACTGTGTTTTTATGCACGCATCAGTTATACAACCTTGATGCAGGATGCTACTATGATTAATCACCAGCAGAAAAATTCAAAAGGCTGTATAAATTACACCGCAGGGATGAATACTTCATCAATTATTTCTGACTTCAGTACCTGCTCACTGAGTGGGACCTCATAATGACCATAAGGCATACAAGGCCATATTTTATTTTATATATAAACTGCCCTTTATCAAAGTAATCAAAAGAAATAAAGATAATCTAAAATATGGTCAGCCAATCATGAAACTAAAAAAGGAAGCTAGCCAGGTGTAGTAGGAAAAAAGTTGGACTGGGGCTTGGAAATTCCCAATTCTAGTCCCCACTAATTCATGAAGTTCACTGGGAGACTTTAGGACAGTCACTGACTCCCAGCCTCACCTACCATACAGGGTTGTTGAGAGGATAAAAGGGAAGGGAGGAGGAGTACGTGAGTGCTTGCCATGGGGTGGGGGGTGGGGCAGGAATAGAGCAGGGTAGTGGGATAGAAATGAAATGAAATGAAATTGAAATGGCTGTAAAAATAGTAGGACAGACTGACCAACTTCACATGTCTGGGCAAACTGGTGATGCTTGTACCAAGAAGACACTGTGACAAGGAATCTAGTGTGACATCTACCTGTTGCCCATCACAGGCATTAAGTGCATAAAGGCAACAGATTCTATTAGGCTTAGGGCAAAATGGGTCCTGTTCCATTCCCCTCACAGCCAGAGCAGAAAGAACTTTTCTCTTTCCTATGCCCTCAGGTCACAACTGGCCTCAGAAAAGGGCGAGGAAGGGTGCCAGGGGGCAGGGAGGTTGGTGCCTGGGACTGTGGGCTTCTGCTACAGCTTATTCCAGCCATAGGATGCATATAAACCTCCAAGTTCTGAGTTTTATATTCTTGAGGATGTGGGACAAAAGACTGTGCCCCCTGGTTGTTTGGAGAAACCTGCAGGGCCTCAATAAAGGTATGTGAGGACCA